ACAGCATTCTTCAAAATGAAAAAGGTCTTCTGCAGCCATGACATAAGCATAAGACTGAAAATCAGGCTTGTCAGATGCTCTATTTTTTCTATCCTGCTCCATGGAGTAGAGAGTGGGTCTCTGACAGAAGGCCACCAGAAGAGACTAGAAGCATTTGAAATGTGGATTTACAGGCGGCTGTTACGTAGAAGCTGGGTGGACAAGATCAGAAATGAGGAGGGGATAAGCCGCCTGGGAAAGCCAAGGGAAATCATCAAAATAATTAAAAAACAAAAGTCAGAATATTTCGGACACGTGATGCGACACCCAGAAAAATACGGCATGCTCCATTTAATCCTCCAGGGAAAGATGGAAGGCAAATGAGGTCCAGGCAGAAGAAGAACATCGTGGCTTCAAAATCTCAGGGACCGGTTTGGACAAAACTCAGCAGCACTTTTTCGTGCGGCTGCTGATAAAAACAGGATCGCCAACAGGATCGCCAACGTCCGATAACGGATATGGCACAAGAAGAAGAAGAAGATTTTTTTTTTTATAAAAGAGTATTAGCATTTTCTACAATTGTACCCCGAACATTATTTTTAAGTTAATTTTTTTTTTCCTGGCAAGTCGTTAATTTGTCAAACATCAGGGACGTCGTTCAGTCAGGTTTTATTTGACCCACTTACGTGAAGTTGTCGCTGTTTTCCACCTTGTTTCAGAAAGATGCTCTGGATCCAAGTTCCTTCTATGTCCTAAGAAAGGAAGGAAAAGACCTTCATTGCTTTAGGGACCCTTACTGCTCTTTTTCTCGACTCGTAAGAGACAGTGACCCTGTCTTGTGAGGTTAAAAAAAACCAACAACTCATCAGGACAAATTAGAAGACCCCCAAAATCATCCAGCTGGTTTTCTTGTCCAGGGCTGGACTTGAACTCATTGCCTTCTGGAGATTGGCCCAAAGTCACCCCGTCGGCATTTATTTATTTTTTTATTTGGTTTCAATTGTTCTCATAAGTTGAAGGCTACCTGGATCTTGGGTGTTGTTTCGTTTTTGTTTCTTTGAACTGCCGAAAAGGAACATTTCCTCTAAATTCAGCCCTCTACATTTAATAATGGACAGCCATTTGTCTGAAATGGCATAGGGTTTCCTGCCTGAGCAGGGGGTTGGACTAGATGTCCTCCAAGGTCCCTTCCAATTTTTTATTATTATTATTATTATTATTATTATTATTATTATTATTATTATTATTATTATTATTATTAATGCAGGGCTTATTGCTGGCGCCAGCAGGAAATGTCCAATTCAAAGTAAAATTTAGAAAATTTTATTCCAAATTTAGCCTGATTTGTATAAATGGCTTGTCTTCTGACGGATGGGGACGGGGGAAATCACACCCTTTGCCAAGGATGTCAATGTCTAACCCAGGAGTCCTCAAACTTAGCCTCTTTAAGACTGGTGGACTTCAACTCCCAGAATTCCCCCATGCTGGCTGAGGAATTCTGGGAGTTGAAGTCCGCAAGTCATGAAGGGGCCACGTTTGGTTGGCTGAGGAATTCTGGGAGTTGAAGTCCACCAGTCTTAAAGCAGCCACGTTTGAGGATCCCGGGTCTAACCTCTTCAATTCCGCAGTCGCACTGTTCATCCTCGTCATCGATGACGCCGTTTCCACACTCCCTCATGGTAAACACCTGGGCAGGTTTGTCCAGCAAACAGGTTTTTTCAGGTTTTTGGATCACTTTCAAATATTCCAGCCTGCTGCAGTTACTCAGTCTGGAGCAGTTCCTGTAAGACAATCAGTAGTTATCTTGTGAGCTGTCATTATTTATAAAAGTATTTCTTGTACCCTGTCTATTATACTATTGTATTCTGTTCTGTTCCTTTCTGTTCCATAATTGATTCTATAATTGATTCTGCATCTATACATTCTATTCTATTCTGTTCCGTTCCGTTCCGTTCCGTTCCGTTCCATTCCATTCCATTCCATTCTATTCTATTCTATTCTATTCTATTCTATTCTATTCTATTCTATTCTATTCTATTCTGTATTTCTATTCTATTCTATTCTATTCTGTTCTGTTCTGTTCTGTTCTGTTCTATTCTCCATTCCATTCCATTTTCTATTCCATTTTCTATTCTATTCTATTCTATTCTATTCTATTCTATTCTATTCTATTCTATTCTATTCTGTAATCCTATCCTATCCTATTCTATTCTGTAATTCTATCCTATCCTATCCTATCCTATCCTATCCTATCCTATCCTATCCCACCCCATCCCATTCCCTTGCATTCTAAAAACTAAGAACGAGGCGCCAGGTGCAACTTACGCTGGGCCCGAAGTCAGCATCAAACAGCTGCCAAACACTGTGCAATTACAGTCGCATTTTCTGGCTAGGTTTGTGGGCGCGTCATCGTGCGTGAAGCCGAGAGAATGACCCAGCTGGTGGGCGACGGTTTCGGCGTCAAATCGAGGCTTTTTATGGATCTGTACACCATGAGACAAGTGTTAGACAAGAGGCCAGAAAGCAAACACGCTGGTCAATACAGGCAGTCCCTCGACTTACGACCGCAATTGAGTCTGACATTTCTGTCGCTAAGCGAGACAGTTGTGAAGTTAGCCTTCATGTGAACTGCTCTGGCTCCACGTTTCTGGTACTTGCCACTGACCCCCACATTAAGGGAAGCAGGCCCCACTGACCCCCCCCAGGTGCAAAAGGAATCGGAGACGGAGAACCCCACTACCTGGACGACGCTGACGGACACATGAGAGGGATGACAAAATCGTTCTCCCCACGAAAGTCCAGGAAGATTCCCAGTTGCCCTAGAACAGCGCAGAAAGGAGGATACAGGTTATTCTTCCCACGGGAAACGTGACTTGGCGGTTGTGATGACTTCCCTGGATGCTCCCCCCAGTTATCTCTCCAGATGTCAGCCTGTAGGAAGATGAACCATTTCCAGGCACATCTGGAGAGGAGTAGTCCGCTGCTGTTCACCCTGTTGACCCACGACTGTTGTGCTGGGTTTGCCACCAACCATATTGTGAAGTTCGCAGACGATACAACAGTAGTGGGCCTTATTCATGACGACAATGAGGGCGCTTATTGCCAGGAGGTTGAGGGTTTGATGGAACTGGTGCAAGGAAAACAGCCTAGTTTTAAACATTGGAAAGAGATCATTGTCGATTTCAGAAAAGGCCATATTTCTCTGTGCATCAATGATTCACACGTGGAGATGGTTACCACCATCAAATTCCCTGTTGTGCAGTTCACAAGTAGGCTGGCTTGGTCGCTCAACAGCGAGACACTGGTGAAGCGGGCACAGCAGCGCCTGCGTTTTCTGCATCGCATGAAAAAACCACATCTCCCTTCCCCTGTCCTCACCACTTTCTACAGAGGGACGATCGAGAGCATCCTGTCATACGGCATCACAGTCTGGTTTGGAGGCATCCCTGCTTCAGACAGGAAGGCAGTGCAGAGAGTGGTGAGGACAGCAGAAAAAAAATATTGGAAGTTCACTTGCTTTTATCCAGGACACAGCACATAAGCGATGCTTGAGCAGGGTCCGCAGGATTGTCTGGGATGCTACACATCCTCTTCACAACCTGATTTCCTTCTGGGAGGAGGGGTCTCCATGGGATCCGTAGCAGAACCTCCAGATTCAGCCACAGTTTCATTCCATAGCAGTGGTTCTTAACCTGGGCGATATCGCCCCCCAGGGAGCGATTTTGTTTTTCAGGGGGGCCAGGGAACAAAAATGGGCAACGCAGGGGCAAAGGAACGAAAAGGGGGTGATATGGGGGCAATGGAGCAAGAGGTTTTGGGGACACTTTTGAGACTTTTTTCGTACAGTGAATCGCTGTATATCTGACATACAAAAACATCAGATCGCTCGCTATTAGTGGATTGAATTGTGTTTTCAAATGTTCCTCCAGATAGCTTCAGTACAGAACGCCGTACAAATGTGAATACGCATCGCTTATCTTCATGCGCGTCGCGCAGCAGCCTCTACCCTTTTTATATTTCTTTTTGCGTCTTAAATTTCACTTGTAATACAATCATTAAAGGTTACTGTTTTTCTTTTCGGGCATTTCACTTTCTTGCAATTGAATTTTGTTTTCAGTGGTCAATACATTTAAGTGTCTTGAATAAATAAGATAATAATGAAATACACGTATCACGAAGTTTGGGAATAAAGTGACGGGTAGCACCAAAATTTTTCAGACAGTTGAGATATGGGCAAAAGGCTGGAAATAAATTATTTGCATCAATATGTCCTGATGACAATTTTAAAGAAAACAAAAAAAAGTGTTTGCATAAATTGAAGAATTAAGAACCACTGCCATAGAGCATTAATCTTGTGAACTCTGAAGCTTCCTCCTTCCGTTCTGTATTCACGATGGACAGTGGTTAATATTTATATGTTACTTATAAGTAAGGGTGTAAAAAATGAGGCGTGAGCCTGAGATCATGGAATGAGATTTTTTTTTTTTTTTAAGTCAGGAATTGGCTGGACATGAAATTTTTTTTTTTTTGCTAGTAATGCTATTCCAGGTTTGTTTCCCAAACTGTAGGATGTTTTTCTCCTGCAGAGGTGCAGACAGAATCCAGGGCAGATGTGAAGAAATCTTGGGTTATATTTGTCGTAGCTTCGTTGTGCATGTGGTCCTCTTGTTACGACCTTAACGGAACCTGCCCATCACTGTCGTGACTTGTGATGGCGGGACAGTAATAAAAATGAAATAAAATAATAAAAAAAAAAACCAAACAAAATAAAACGGGTGGCCGATCTCCCCCCTCCCTTTCCAGGTGATGCTCAATCGAGCCCAAGGGGTCATTTTTCCCAAAGGGAAGAGAGAGGGAAAGCTTACGTCATTAAACCAGCGTGGTCAAAATGCTCGTGGTGCCGGAGTTTGTACCGGACGTACTTATAAAAGGCGTTCAAGTTCATAGACAGCTCTTGGGGATGGAGGGTCACGTAGTTTTTGTCCGTCCAGATCTCCATGCCGACCAGATAAACGTGGAGGCGGAGCGGGAGGAAGATCTGAGGATGGAAAAGAGGAAATTCTCAACGCCTGGTGGAACATGGGTGACATGATAGCAGGGTTCCGATATCTCAGGGGCTGCCCCAAAGAAGAGGGAGTCAAGCTGTTCTCCAAAGCGCCTGAAGGCAGGAGAAGAAGCAACGGATGGAAACTCATCAAGGAGAGAAGCAACCTGGAACTAAGGAGAAATTTCCTGACAGTTAGAACAATTAACCAGTGGAACTACCTGCTACCAGAAGTTGTGAATGCTCCGACACTGGAAGTTTTTAAGAAGAGACTGGACAGTCATTTGTCTGAAATGGTATGGGGTCTCCTGCCTGAGCAGGGGGTTGGACTAGATGACCTCTAAGGTCCCTTCCAACTTTATTATTATTATTATTATTATTATTATTATTATTATTATTATTATTATTATTATTACTACTACTACTATTACTATTATCTTTGTCCCAAAGGTGCTTTTTTCATGAGGCAACTGGACTTCCTTGTTTTTCCTTGAAGACATTTCACTTCTCATCCCAGAAGCTTCTTCAGCTCTGACTGGATGGTAGGGAATGGAAGGATTTATACACCTTGCAGACAGCTGGTCATTTGCCTTCTTTTAGAGCAGGGGTCTTCAAACTTGGCCCTTTCATGACTTGTGGACTTCAACTCCCAGAATTCCTCAGCCAGCCAGCTTGTGGACTTCAACTCCCAGAATTCCTCAGCCGTCTCTCTCTCTCTCTCTCTCTCTCTCTCTCTCTCTCTCCCACACACAAACAGACGGCTGCCATCAGAGAAACACGGTTATTCAGCGTTTGCCCTTAATGTGGCTTTAGGTTTCAGTTTACTTACGGTGTAAACGTGGTGCATCATATGGAACACTACCGACACCAAAGCGGTTTCATTACCACCGTAGAGGAGAAACTTAAGAGAAGGAGAAGAGAAGCAGCTTAGCCCCACAAATTTACACAGTGCATCTATTCGTGCTGTTCCCCGCAGGCGTCTGGGTCTAGCGGCGGTGTGTGGTTAAAGGGGCCTTTGGTAAAATGAGATTGTGGCTTTCACCTCAGAGGGTGGCGACCTGCGTTGGGATCTGGCAGAGGTTCCTGATGTGTAGAAGGCCCAGAGCAGAGTGTCTCAACCTTCATTGCTCGAAGACGGGGGGACTTCCATTCCCAGATTTCCCCGGCCAGCCTTGCACTTCCCTCCACGCGTCTTTAAGTTGCCAGGAGGGACAAACACTGGGCTACGGTCACCGATGGGAGATGGACGGCCATGTAACTCATAGGTGTCAATGTTGCTAACATCGGATGTTCTTGCTTTGACAACATATGGAGATGCAGCCATTTTCCTTCTTATGTTTTACTCTTAGAGTTAGAGTTAGATCAGGGCTTTTCAACCAGTGGTACGGGTACCACCTGTGGTACATTGGCACCTGGCAGGTGGTACGTGAACATCCTAGAAAAGAGGTAGCGGGGGAGGGGAATGAGCTGAACCGGTGGCAGCACCGCACAAGCCTGAGCGAGAGACGGCTGGAGCTGCAGGGCTGTCAGGGCTCAGCAGAAGCGCCAGGATCAGTGCCGCTTTCCAGCTGATCGGCGCTTCTTCGGGGCTGTCAGGGCTCAGCGGAAGTGCCAGGATCAGCGCCAGGCTCCAGCTGGATCTTGGTGCTGATCCTGGTGCTTCCGCTGAGCCCAGAAGAAGCGCCGATCAGCTGGAATGTTGCAGCCTCTCCAGGGTCTTGTGATTTACATTCAGATGCTTGGCAACTGATTCATATTTATGACGGTCACAGTGTCCCAGGGTCATGTGAAGTGACCAAAACCTGCTGCAACCACCCAGCAGACGGGGGGGGGGATAAAAACCAAACACCCCCCCACCCCCTGCTGCCAATCCTCAACAGAAATGCTCACAACAATGAAAACCTCGCACAGGAGGAAGAGCACCGCTGGGTGGGCAGGCAGGTGTCTTGCTTGGCTGTGGCTTGGGGGGCACTTTTTTCAGTGCCATTGTAACTTCCAACAGTCACTAAGCGAACTGTTATAAGTCGAGGACTACCTGTACTTTATCACTTTTTTCGTTTTTGTTTTTTTTTGGTCATCAAGTTTTTGACCCCTTGCTAGGCGACTGGTGGTCCTCGGATGTTGCCATATCCTAAAAGTGGTACAATGGGTGAAAAGGTTGAAAAGCCCTGGACCTCCCAAGGTCCCTCCAACCTCTGTGATTCTCTTATTTCCAGATCTTCTGTAAGCTACCATGTCCAGAGGCAAACTTACCGTGCTTTTGTCGGCAACAACATAATATTCTAGGTATCGGTTGCTTGTCCGGTTGAGGTCAGCTTCCTGGAATGAAATCGATGGAAGCGGTTAGGGAGGCAGTGACGGTTGTACTGGCAACCCTCAGGGGTCTCCACAGGTGGGGTCAAAAAATGTTGCAATGGAAGCATCAACCCAATGTGGGCACCCTCTTGACTTTTTTGACCTGTAGGCTGCATTGGGCACCAGGGACCTTTTTTAAATAAGAGTCCTACAACGTTTCAGGTGCAAAAATCAAAGCTGCGCAGGTAGCTTCCAACTTACAGCCATTCCTGAGCCAGCATGGGGGAACTATGGCCCCTTGATGACTTCTGGACTTCAACTCCCAGAATTCCTCAGCCAGCCATGCTGAGGGTAAAGAGAGAGGTTTCCAAGCTGAGCCATGCTGGCTCAGGAATTCTGGGAGTTGAAGTCCACGAGTCATGAAGGGGCCAAAGTTTTACCCATGCTGGCTCAGGAATTCTGGGAGTTGAAGTCCGCAAGTCATAAAAGGTTGCCTACCCCTGGTTTAGTGACTTCCTTCCTTCCTTCCTTCCTTCCTTCCTTCCTTCCTTCCTTCCTTCCTTCCTTCCTTCCTTCCTTCCTTCCTTCCTTCCTTCCTTCTCCATCACTGGAGGCTTTTAAGAAGAGATTGGACCACTGTTTGTCTGGAATGGTAGAGGATCTCCTGCTTGAGCAGGGGGCTGGACTAGAAGACCTCCAAGATCCCTTTCAACTCTGTTGTTCTGTTATCCTTCCTTCCTTCCTTCCTTCCTTCCTTCCTTCCTTCCTTCCTTCCTTCCTTCCTTCCTTCCTTCCTTCCTTCTCCCTCCCTNTCCTTCCTTCCTTCCTTCCTTCCTTCCTTCCTTCCTTCCTTCCTTCCTTCCTTCCTTCCTTCCTTCCTTCCTTCCTTCCTTCTCCATCACTGGAGGCTTTTAAGAGGAGACTGGGCAGCCACCTGTCTGAAATGGTACAGGGTCTCCTGCTTGAGCAGGGGGCTGGACTAGAAGACCTCCAAGGTACCTTCCAGCTGTATTCTCATTCTGATTCTGGGGGGAAAAGCAGTGGGCGTGTGCACCTGCACCTCGCACAAATGGAGCTTGGCGTGTGAACGCCTGCGCCCGCTCAAATAGAGCTGCGTGCACACGCACGCTCGCCTGTCCCTTGCACAGCCTGAGGATTCGGGGACCCCTGCTATAGAGCATGCAGGCAACTCCGCCATGTCCACTGTTTAAGCTGGCCTACCTCAAAGGGCTGTCAGGAGCGACGTTCTTAGCGCGAAAAGCTTTGCCTTGCCCTCAACAAAATCTCAGTTTTCCGGTGGGATCGAGACCCAGAAGCCAACTTACCTGCCTGGGGGAAACATCTGGATCTTCTTCGGTCCTCACCATTCTCACCTCTCTACCGGGCCCGCCTGCGCCATCTTCGGCGATTCCCGTGCAGGGTCCTCGCGGCTGCGGATCCCGTCGGTAAATGAAGTGTTGGAAGGTGGAGGAATTTTCAACCGGCTGAATTTCGTAGGTTAAGGAGCCAAACTGTATATGTCCCCTGCAAGGGGGGAGAAGAATTGTCAACCGCCCAGACTCTGTCGCGGTTGGTTCAAGTTGATTAAAATACAGGCAGTCCTCGACTTACGACGGTTCGTTTAGCAATCGTTCAAGGTTACGACGGCATTGAAAAAAGGGACGTACGGCCGTTTTTCACGAGCTTTGCAGCGTTCCCCTGTGGTCACGTGATCAAAATTCAGATCTTGGCAACTGACTCGCCTTTGTGACAGTCGCAGTGGCCCCGGGGTCAGGTGATCCCCTTTTGCGACGTTCTGACAAGCAAAGTCATTCACTTAACAACGGAGGCAAGGAAAGGCGTAAAATGGGGCCAAACTCACTTAACTGTCTCGTTTAGCAACGTAAATGTTGGGCTCAGATGTTGGTCGTAAGTTGAGGACTACCTGCACAATAGAGTATCCGTTTGAGCATTTACACATATGTCATTGGCATGTGGGTGCACACACAGGTGCATCCCCCTGAGGGGGGGGAGTAAACTGACATGTGGGGGGGTCGTTTCTCCCACCCTTTGCACCCACCAGGGCTGAGGAAGAGGAGGAGCGGCAGCACCGCCCCCAAACGTGGCTCCCCCAGCCTCCACCAGGAAAAGAGGTGCTCCCCCTCCGCCATTTTGCTTAGGAAAAGCAAATTATGGCCCCTTCATGACTCGTGGACTTCAACTCCCAGAATTCCTGAGCCAGCATGGGGGAACTATGGCCCCTTCATGATTCGTGGACTTCAACTCCCAGAATTCCTGAGCCAGCCTGGCTCAGCTTGGAAACCTCTCCCTTTTCCCTCAGCATGGCTGGCTCAGGAATTCTGGGAGTTGAAGTCCACCAGTCATAATTTAATTTAATTTAATTTAATACATGGATTTATATGCCGCCCTTCTCCCTATAGGACTCAGGGCGGCTTACAGCATATTAAAACACATAAAACATCGTCCCCCCATAAAAACCTATTAAAAACCAAATATTTTTTTTTTCGCTGTATAATTAATTAAGATTTAAATTAAAAATTCTCCCTATTTAAAAATTCTCCCTAGGCCAGGCCCGCTTGTTGAAAAAGCCATGTCTTGAGGGCGCGGCGAAAAGGTAGGAGGTCCGGAATCGTCCGGATCTCGGGGGGTAGTTCGTTCCAGAGGGTGGGGGCACCCACAGAGAAGGCCCTCCCCCTGGGGGTCGCCAGCCGACATTGCTTGGCCGACGGCACCCTGAGGAGGCCCGCTCTGTGGGAGTGTACCGGTCTGTGAGAGGGGATCTGTGGCAGAAGGCGGTCTCGGAGATATCCAGGCCCGATGCCATGGAGCGCTTTAAAGGTGGTAACTAACACCTTAAAGCGCACCCGGAAAGCCACCGGTAGCCAGTGCAGCTCGCGCAGCAGCGGTGTTACATGGGAGTGACGAGTCCCTCCCAACACCGCCCGCGCGGCCGCATTCTGGACCAGTTGCAGTCTCCGGATGCTCCCCACAGGGAGCCCCATGTATAGAGCATTACAGTAGTCCAGGCGGGAGGTGACGAGAGCCTGAGTGACTGTGCGCAGAGCGTCCCCGTCCAGAAAAGGGCGCAACTGGTGGATCAGGCGAACCTGATAAAACGCCCCCCTGGTCACGGCCGACACATGATCTTCCAGTGTCAGCCGTGGATCCAGGAGGACACCCAAGTTGCGCGCCCTCTCTGAGGGGGCCAAAATTTCGCCCCCTATAGACAGCGATGGGGTCAGCTGACTATGCCGAGGCGCCGGCAACCAC